CCCAAAGCCCTGTTATTTTCAAGCCTAAAGAAATCCAAAGGACTCATCTTGAAAACCATACTGCAATCTCTAAGATTCAAAAGAAATCTGAGTCTATTTTGCCTTAGATACCTAAATGACTACAAAAATAAAACTATAAATCCAATATTTGCTGTTCAGCTTCCAAGGTCTTTAAAAAAAAAAAAAGCATAACCTTGTAACAAGCATCAAGAAGACAGCATCTACAGTAAGCATGTTTTGTATTCTGCTGTGGCAAGAAGTCAATGTGCCCATAAGAAATAATTATATATGACAATGGCAGAAGAACAGTATTAGGAACAGTGAAAGGATGTGAGGATCAGATGGGCAAAGTGGCAAAGAAAAGGAAGAAAGATGGGTGGATGTGGAAAAATTAGAAAGAAGGAAAACAATCATATAGGATGTCTAGGATATAAAACTGGGTGGGGATGAAAGGCTATACAACATCTGATGAACAAATGATGCAGCTCAGAGACAGAAGGCAAAGATAAGAGATAAAGCATGATAACCTATGAAGGTGGAAAAAGTAAAGATCTCAGAAGCAAAGCAAAAGGAGAATCAGACAAGAGACTACCAACACCCAAGTTTAAGGAGGAGCCAAAGGCAGATCAAAAGTAAGTGGCATACTGGTTACAGAACTAGGGAATGGGACAGCCAAAGGTTCCAGAGACAAGCAAGGTCCGTTATGTGTAATAACTGTGAAGCTGTGTGTTTTGTGTAACGCTCTTTCAGGAAGGCAGAAAAAATAAGGACTGCACAGTAGAGTGAAGGTCCAGTCCCCAAGAGGGTGAGGGGGCCAAAACATGGAGCAAAAAGGATGCAGCAAATCAAGAGGGTACTAAGTCCAAAGCAGCCAGTTAAGAGGAGCCTGAGCCTGTCCAAAGACAAAAGTCCCTGAGATGGGAGACCTAGACTTGGGGGATATGTAGGCATTAGAGACAAATGTGAAGCACAAGTTAAAAGGTAACAGAAATAAAAACCTGTACCACAGGTGTCCAAGGGGTGAGAGACATGGATGCAAAACCAAGAAGGAAAGGTCTAGCTGGGAATGCCAGCCTTCTCCCCAAGAGATGCCACAGGAGGAAGTCTTGTCCTGATAAATAGGGCCAAGTACCTAGAGGCCAGGGAAAACTGGTGGGAACAGGAACACAGATACATACTCCTCCTCTTGTGTAGATAAAGATCAGAAAAGTTTGGGACCCCCAGAATTTTAGAAAAACAAATGCAAAGTCATGATTCTGCAATGCCATGCCCTACCCTACCTGTCACTCTGGAGCCACAGCCCACTTCTGTGCATCTGTGGGTTGCCCCAACCACAAGCCTACTTAGGAGCTCAGAGATAAGCCCAGCAGCACACACGACCTGAAAGAATAATCTGATAAGAAGTGGAAGTGTTCAATACTCACAGGAACAATAAGCCCTTGCCAAGTCAATAAATTAGCTTCATCAACCTGGATGTTACGGAAGTTTTTCATTCCACATTTGCGGATCTCTTCAAGCTCCTGTTGATTAACAAAGCATAAAGGGGTGTCAAATTGGGGAAAGCACCACATATTAAGATCCCTCCTGACTCCCTCAGATTAAACCAGGTCACAACACCACCAATGACACAATGAGTGAAGACTAGACCATGCCTAATTTGGTTAAAGAGGCAGGGAACCAGAGAAATTCTCCTTGTGAGTCACTGCCTCTCTTTGCCCCAGACCAAGAAAAGTTCCCACCTCAGTAACCCCTGTACATGATCAGAGGGATCATGCTTCCACAGCTATACCACCTCCTCTCTGTGGTTGTTCCTCACGCCTGTTTAAATAGGCATGCACCCTTCACTTAGCAGACATGTGGCAGTGCTACAGATCTGACTTCAATGAAGATTTATTAAGTGCTGACTATGCCATGGACACTGAAAAATCTAAACGAATAAAACTGGCTTAGCAGCCAACCAAAGGCAAATGCACACCCACCAACTGAGCTGTGATTTCAGGGTCACAGGCCCATCCCAGTGCTAGCACAAGCAAAAGGAACAACCAACAGGTCTAGTACTGGGAAGGGACAGGAAACCTTAAGTGAGCCTCAATTTCCTCAGCTATCAAACAAGGGTTATAAGACCCACTGCTCCAGACAATGAATGGGAAACCACATTGTACACAACAAGAATCCTTACAAACAATGTCATTACTCTATATACAAACAATCAATGAAGCAAATGCCATTTCACCCAGAAAGCACAACCACCATAATTAATTACTCTATGATCCTGCCTGAGATAACTTTAGAAGAGTTGTTTTACAACTGTGCACCAACCTGGCATTTCCCATTGCATTCCCAACACCTCAGATGAATGTCTGGCTACAGTCATAACACAAGGCACCTTCTTGTCCCCACATCAAATCACCAACATTCTTCCATATGCAGATATCTGGAATGCCACTTGCAACTAAAAAGCCTCCCCTACATCTCAGGTGCCCTTTCTTCTGCAACTCAAGCACTAACCCCACTGAGCCCTACCTCCTTTGCCAGATGCTTCCTCTCTGGGCCACCCCATACTATCTCTATAGCAGCAGTGGAAACCCCATGGCAGGCACGTTGCAGCAGACACACAAAGCTCTCTGTCAGCCCACAGGCCAAGCCACCCCAACAGCTGAACATCAGATCAGCTATTTATTTATTTATAAAAAACTAAAACCTCAGTAGTTAGGTTTAACTATGGTGTAGACACATTGCAATAATAAAATGGGTTCTGCATTGCAGTTTGGGCACTTGGTCTCTGAAAGGTTCATTATCACTGCTCTGGAAAGAGGAAGGCCCTCTGTGTAGAGCTAAGGCACACAATGGCACAGAAGCTGCCCTACTGGCCCTCACACCAAACCCAAAAAAATTCCCCCACACTTCACATTCTCATCACATCACAGCAATTTATAAGGTACATGGGGCAACATTGAACAGAAGAAACAAAGGGTAAAAAGAAAAGGGAAACCGCAGCCAGTGTTATAGGTCCTGAGCAGGAGGTGTGTGTGTGTGCGCGCGCGCGTGCACGCATATACATGAAGGGGTTCTAGTTTAGACACAAATACACTAAAGGAATGCAAGGAATACAAAATTCATGTCAATCAACAGCCAGGAATATCTTCCCATAGGGTGCTTCACTGATGGTTAATCCTAGGTACCTACTACTACCTGAGCCCAGTCCAAGAAACTCTGGTCAAGCAAGTGTGGATGGATTTGAACATAGAGATACTTACCAAGTAGCATATGAAAGAAAAGCATTGCTAAATGAGGGCCAGATCCATTTCTAAGAAAAGGCTGGTACTAGCACCAAGACTTGCTACCCCCTGCAGCAGAATCAAAATCACAGTGCTTAAGGGAATACTCCAACCTACCTGCCATTTAGTCCACCTACTAGTAGCCAAGACTCATTGTAAATGTTGCTCTGGAGACTATAAAATATGGGCAAAAGGAAAGGGTCGTCTACCTCGTATACCACATATCCCAAACAGAATGTCAGCTCCGTGAGGGCAAGAATCAGGAAGTCCTAGCACTGTCAGGGTTTAGCTTAGGGTAAAGCAAAACAGCCTTTCCTCTCCCTCTGTTCCAAGCTTCAGGCAAGCAACTTCCTGGGCAACCCCTCCTGCAGGAATGTGGACTTGCCACTGTCACTGTGGTCCTTTGCTTTTCTCACTAATAAAGGAGACAACACTTCAAGCAGTTCTCTCAAAGGAATCTCCTTAGAGGGGCAATACTGTTGTGTACCATTACCAACAAAGCTAACAAATGGGTTATAAATAAGCTTCGCAGCATTCTAACATCTGAGATGCACAGGATATATTTTCTTTTCAAAGTTAAGATAAGGTTAGCTGCCAAGATGACAAACTGCTTGTTTTATTTCTATATCTTTACTTGCTTTTGCCACAAACTGTATAAAAGGGGACCTCTCCTTGGTTGGGGGCCAGCCTGGTTTTGAGCATTTCTATAGCAGTTAGGCTGATGCACTGTTAAAAAATCCTACTAAAAGATCTTTCTGTCCTATCCAATTTCTTGGAAATTCTACAATGGTGAGGCTCAAACATCTGCTCAGTGACTAGACTAGTGAATGAAGTGTGTGTGTATATGCTTCTGATGGGAAGGATTCTCTGCAAAGAATACAAAAGCTGTATGTCAGTTTTCTGGTCCTTGGCTCAAAACACTATAATAAGACTCTTGCTAAGGAGAGCCAAGGTGTGGTGGTACACACCTGTAACTCCCAGCACTTGGGAGACCTAGGCAGGACTGCTGGGAGTTCCAGGGATAGAACTCAGTGGTTTAAGCACCAGCCTGGCAAGTGCAAGGTCCAGAGTTTGATCGCCAGTACTACAAAAATAACAATAATAATAATAATAATAATAATAAAAAACCTTCGACAACAACAAAAGTGATCCATTTGCTGCAAGATAGGGCTTAGAAAAACGCTCGATGGAATAAGTGCTTCCCTGGCAAGTGCAAGGCCCTG